TTGAGAATACTGATAAACACATTACTGTAGATCCATGCAGTATTCTCAAGATGGGTCAATCCAGTCACATATTATCGATATAATATGCACCTACGTACAGATTAAGATATCACAATACCTATAGTCTATGAGACGCAACTATCTCATCTCGTACGTACTAGTCTTGATACGTTATGATGTCCGTATTATCATAAAGTGCGACTAGGGATATTTTAGACATAGCCTTCGTCAAGAAGTAACAGTCTCATCATCAGAACATCGTAGTCCTCATCTATGTTACTGAAGCGCTATCGTCTATGGACTGAAGCTATGTTATGTTACACGAGATATAAAACATACTTCAGAGCCTTTCATTCATGATAAAGTGTACAGTTACATAGGTATTTGATTGCCGCTAGGGCACCTAAATACAACAATCTCCCACTTGCCCTAAGGCCAATCAAGCATTTCTCGAATGCCCATGGACCACGTATGACTCTCGTGTTTAGGCTTTCCCAAAGCCTTCGTCAACGGATCCGCGATATTGTCTTCTGTACCTATCTTGCAAATCTCAACGTCCCCACGTGCAACAATTTCTCGTATGATGTAATAACGTCTAACGATGTGTTTGGTCTTCTGGTGAGACCGAGGTTCTTTCGCTTGTGCAATTGCCCCATTGTTGTCGCAAAACAACGGTATAGGGTTCTTGATGCTAGGAACCACTCCAAGCTCAGTAATAAAATTTTTGAGCCACACACCTTCCTTGGCTGCCTCGGCTGCAGCCATGTACTCTGCTTCTGTAGTGGAATCAGCGGTAGTATCTTGATTGTAACTCTTCCAGGTAACAGCTCCGCCATTCAAACAAAACACATACCCTGCCTGCGACTTGAAGTCGTCTCTATCAGTCTGGAAGCTGGCATCAGTATATCCAACAATACTGAGCTCTTCTTTTCCGCCATATACCAGGAAGGCATCCTTAGTTCTACGAAAGTTCTTAAGGATGTTCTTCACAGCCGTCCAATGGCTTTCGCCAGGGTTGGACTGGTATCTACTCGTGACACTCAGAGCAAAGGCGACATCAAGTCTCGTACATACCATCGCATACATGATGGATCCAATGGCCGACGCATAAGGAACATTTCTCATGCGTTCTACTTCCTCTGGAGTGGAAGCACCCTGAGTCTTGGAAAGACTCGTGCCTTGGACCATAGGCAAACTTCCTCGTTTTGATTCAGACATGCTGAATCTAGCGAGGACCTTGTCTATGTATGTACTTTGACTGAGACCTAACAGCTTCCGTGATCTATCCCTATAGATCCTTATGCCAAGTGCATAACTGGCATCTCCCAAGTCCTTCATAGAGAAACTCTTACTCAACCACGTTTTGACGGTGGTTAAAGTAGAAATATCGTTTCCTATGAGCAGTATGTCATCAACATACAGAGCAAGGAAGACTACAGCACTCCCACTGACCTTTTTGTATACACAAGATTCATCTGAATTTCTTTCAAAACCAAAACCGATGACGGTTTCGTGAAAACGGATGTTCCAACTCCGTGAGGCTTGCTTCAATCCGTAGATTGATCGGTGCAACTTGCATACCTTGGTAGATTCTTCAGGAACGCAAAACCCTTCAAGTTGTGTCAAAAAGACATCCTCAAGGAGGTTTCCAATAAGGAAAGCCGTTTTGACGTAAATTTGCCATATTTCGTAATCGTGGTATGCTGCGATAGCAAGTAAGATCCGAATGGATTTAATCATGACAACTGGAGAAAAAGTTTCATCATAGTCAATACCATGTATTTGACGATATCCTTTTGCTACCAATCGTGCCTTGAAGGTTTGTACCTTACCATCCATGTCAGTCTTCTTTTTGAAGACCCATTTGCACCCAATGGGTTTGATCCCTTCGGGTGCATCAACCAAAGTCCATACTTGGTTGGTGTACATGGAATCCATTTCGGACTGCATGGCTTGATGCCATTCCTCAGCCTCGAGACAACTGATTGCCTCGAGGTAGGTCTCCGACTCATCCTGGTCGATAAGCATTACGTCACCCTCAAAGGTTAGGATGAATCCATACCTTTCAGGTTGTGTGCGTAACCGGTTAGACCTACGGGGTTCTTGTGTATCTTGAGCATTTTGAGGTACAACAGTTTGTTCCTCTAGCTCATGTTCCTGAACCGGCGCGGTAGTTTCTTCGTCGTCTCGAATTTCTTCGAGCTCTATCTTTCTCCCTCTAGTTGCGTTGGAGAGAAATTCCTTCTCGAGGAAGACACCATTGCGAGCAACGAATACCTTCTTATCGATAGGGTGATAGAACGAATACCCTCGAGTTTCCTTTGGGTATCCCACGAAGAAACACTTATCAGACTTGGCGTCAAGCTTGCCATTCGTCATAAGACGTTTGACATAAGCCTCACAGCCCCAAATCTTTAAGTGTGACAGAACCGGGCATTTGCCTGTCCATAGCTGGTATGGTGTTCCTTCAACCGCCTTGGTTGGAACTCGGTTAAGAGTATATATTGCAGTGCTCAGCGCATACCCCCAGAATGATTCCGGTAGAGTCGAATGACCCATCATAGAACGAACCATGTCAAGCAGGGTCCTATTCCTCCTTTCAGAGACACCATTCCATTGTGGAGTCCCAGGAGGTGTGAGTTGGGATAAAATCCCATGCTCTCTAAGATAGTCATCGAACTCACCACTTAAGTATTCTCCACCTCGATCAGATCGTAGTGTTTTAATACTTTTGCCAAGTTGTTTTTCAACTTCATTCCTGAATTCTTTGAACATTTCAAAGGATTCTGACTTGTGTTTCATGAGATACACATAGCCATATCTACTGAGGTCATCAGTAAA